GCGGCTGTGAGGGGTGAACGGCCATGCTGGAGCTGCCTCCGCACTCCTGGCCTCCTGATTGCATTCCCTGGGCTCCGCAGGGGAGAACCAGGTGCTTTGTCACCAGACTCTGGTGACAGAGTCTCCTTGGTACCCAGGGGAAAGGGTTACTGGTAAATAAATGCCAGGGAGCAGGTACAAAGGGTGGGCACGTTTGAAGAACACATCCCGGCTGGGCGCAGGCTGGGACATAGGACTGGGCTTATATCCCCACGTTTTGCTTGCGGACGTGTAACACACAAACTCGTGTAAACCTTTACCAGGTGCCAGAGTTCCTCAGGAACACTTCGCCCTCACTATTTGCTGTGACGGAGTGGAAACATACCGCGGCCTGTCCGTCCCAGCAAACCCGGCCGGGGTAGGTAAATATGTTCCTTCTCATTTTGCAGATGGATAAGCAGAAACAGAGAGATACCAAGCGACTTGCCCTAAAGGTTAAACACCAGGTCTGAAACATAACCCAGGACTCCCGACTGAAGAACTCGTGGGGCTGTTTCATTAAAGATATCCAGGAAATGAAACCATTCGAAGTTGTCCGGGCAGGTATTGTAATTCTAAACCTCTTCTGCAATGTGGCCTTCTAACTTCACAAAACTAACTCAGCTTCATGATCCTGTCGCGTAAATCACAGCCCGTCTTTGGTTTTAAGCTCCAGAACAGCAAACGTTTTTGTCATTGCCACTGGATTTTTTTCTGTCCCATATTTTTTCAATTTTTATTGAAGTTTTCTCCTTTTTTTCCCTGTTTCATGGCCTTGGAGAAGTCCTGTCCTCCCCGAAACCTAACATGGGCCAGTGTTGCCCTCCGGAGCTCCTTGGCACTGTGGTTAGGTTCATTTGTGCCTTACCACAACAGCACGACAGTATTCCAGCCTGGGGGTGAGGCTGCTGCATGGCATCAGCGATTGAGTCAGGGTTGCAGTGGTGACCGCTCGCCCCGTGTGGGGAGCAGAGCCACAGACCCGGATGGCCACTGTCACCTGTAACCACCATCGCCCTCGGGAGGTGTCTGAAACGTGGGTGAGACCAGCAGCATTCACCGCGTGGGTAATCGAACATTTCTGAGTTGGTCCCTCTCTGCACTGTTGGGAGCAATAGCTAGTAGGAGTATTTTAATTTGATTGATTCTTCAGATGATAAAAATTCAGTTTTGTGTCATGTCCTGTCCCTGTGGTTGGTGAAGTGGTTTTACAGTCTTGGGGTGTCTGTGTTTGTGCTGGGTTGGAAGTCTTCTTGATTTCACTAATATTTTCAATAAATGCTTTTGTGGAGCCACTTCTATCCACAGAAAAGAGAGCCAGGGGGACTTAAAATTGGTATTTTTGATCCAGATACAGCATTTTCCCCCAAATTAACTTTGCAAAAACACTTTAAAAGGTTTTGCCCTACTTCCAGTGGGGAATGCTGCACCCTTGTAAACCTTGGAAGCTGTCACGGAATGGGTTTGGTGTCCTGTAGCTGCTGGTCCCGTCAGGTCTGCTTGCTTTGTGTGTCTGAGTGCGCTTGGAGGAAGGCTGGGGAGATCAGACTCTGTGCTGACTTTCTGCTTCCCGTTTCCGCTTTCCTTCCAGCGATTTCTGTTTCCCTCTGTGGATACATCTCCCCTCCAGGCCACAACTGCCTTGTCCTTCCAGACTTCTCATCCTTGCGGCTGGTCAAAAGCCACATGGCAACTCTCACAGCCAACGGTGGCTTTTAGGAGGAAGGTCTCTTTCACATTTTTGGCCATGAATTCAGATTTTTAAAAGCCATTAATGAAATAATTTTGGTTTATATGCAGTTGGGAATTTCTTTCCAAGAGCTTCAGTTTCCCTGTTTTAGGTGCAGTGCAGCAGGGTCGCGTTGAAACCTGAGGAGACCTGTGTGTGAGCTGCCTGCTCCGAGTAAACCAGAGGTGCTCAATTTCATTATTTCAAAGACACTCCGCATACACTCACCTGGTTACAGCCTAGAAACTCCTAAAGAAGCCTTGCACCTCATAGATGATTTTTTAAAGTGCTAAAATTCAGAAAAGGCTTAACCACAAGTTAATCATTCAGGTGCCTCTGTTATCAAAGTTATAGTTTGATTCCATCATATTCACAATAGCAGCTATTATATGGGTAATGCATGCTGCACATTGCCCTGGAGCACAGCTGGTTTGAGTTAGGGGTGTATCTCTGAAATCTCAGCCCTGCCAGCAATTCCCACCCAAGCCCCCAGTGCTCCTTTAGCTCTTGTAAACAGAGATAACCCTGGAGGGCTTATCTCAGCTGGATCAAAACAATGCTTGCTTTCAGATAAGGGTTGTTTTACTGCATGAGGACTGGTAGATGCCAAGAGCCCTGTATTCCTGCAGAGCATTCCTGGTTTTACAGATGTGGTCTGGGCTACACCCGAGCGCTCTGCAGCAGCCCGGGGCTCCTCACATCAGCTGAATGAAGTCCATGATGGATGCTTGCTGTCAGATGGTCCAGATGGGAACAACTGGTTTTAACTGAGGATATTCCAGCATCCTGCAGGAATATGGGTGGGAATTTGAAGCTGAGGACTAGTTCCCTTCGGTGTTGTTGAAACCCTAGACCTTCCATAGCATTTGCTTAGCCCCAGTCTCCTTTGTATTAAAATAAAAAGAATTATAAACTAAAGTTTAGGTCAATTCCTGTGTTCTTTATGGCTACATGAAACTGCTGTGTGAACCCTGACTTCTGTGAAGTGCTGCATGTGGAAGAAAAGCTGGATAAACTGTTTTTCAACATTTGTGGCCCTGTAGACTTGCTTAAACTTAAGAGCTGGTGGTATTTTTCAGTTGCTGGTTGTTTTAAGGAAAAACATGGGAAATCCCTTATAAGCGTAAGAAAAAAAAAAAAGTATTGCTGGAGAGGCATTGACAAATTAGCCTAAACAACAGCTTAAACAACGATTTTGAAGTAGTTCGGCATTAAACATCTGTGCACTGCCATCCAGTGGGCACCGGGGAATTGGCTCCCTGTCACCCACCGCTAGTGGCCCAGCGCTGCGTGTCCCTGAACATTTTCAGTTAACACAGGGGAACTCCCCATATGGTCAGGGGCTCCTGGTGACCTCCCCTACTCTGTCCCAGTGAAGAGGCGGGCATGAGGGAGTGACGGTACCCTGGGGATGACGCTCATTGTCAGCCGGGATGGCAACAGAAGCCCACAGACCTCATTGCAGCTTTCCAGTATCTGAAGGGGGCCTACAAGGGTACTGGGAGAGGACTTTTTACAAGAGCCTGTAGTGATAGGACAAGGGGTAATGGGGATAAATTGAAATCAGGGAGGGTTAGATTAGATATCAGGAAGAAATTCTTCACAGAGAGGGTGGTGAGGCACTGGAACAGGTTGCCCAGAGATGTTGTGGATGCCCCATCCCTGGATGTCTTCAAGGCCAGGCTGGATGAGGCTTTGAGCAACCTGGTCTAGTGGAAGGTGTCCCTGCCCATGGCAGGGGGGTTGGAACTAGATGATCTTTAAGGTCCCTTCCAACCCAAACCATTCTATGATTCTATGATTCTATGATCTGCATCCCCCCATCCCGGTCTGTGCAGCCCCGTGTGGGGTTGTGGCACAGCCACGGGTTATTGCAGGGTTAACAGCAGGAGACACAGGGTGTTGGGAGTCTCTGAGACAGTTACCTGTAGTTTCCTGAGCAATCCTCCTTTTGCGTTTCCAACCCCCTACAAGAAGCAGCCCTGGGCTGTGGGCATGTGTGTATTTTAGAGCCCACTCAAAGACTGCATCGTGATTACTTTATCAGCTGGTTTATTAAAAGGTAACTCCTATTTCCATGTAAACTCAACTGGACAAAAAACCCAAGAGAAAGTTACATTATTCACTGTGACAAAATGCTGTATGACAAATGCTCCAGATGAATTTACAGAGACAGCCCTCCGTGCCGGGAAGCTCAGAAGGTGGTAAGCAGAGACTTGGGTTGCACCTTACCTGATGGTAAAGCTCAGACCCTAACTTTTGCATGTTGCATACTTGCTTTCCTGCTCCATTATTTCATTTTTAATGGCTATCACTTGTTCCTCTAGTTGTCTCAGTTGCTCTGCCTTGTCCTGTTTGGTTTGATTCAGGTCCTGAAGCTTCTTCTCCAAATCTGTAAGAGTAGAGACATGCGATGATGCTCGCTGTGTAAGTAAAATCCAGGGATTAACAGCGTTGCTTTTCCCATCAGTTTTAGAAGCAATAAGCCCATTTCAAATGAGGAATGTTTTATGTGCAACTGAAGGGGAAAGTCTGGCTTCTGGATTGCAAGAGAAACATGACAGCCTTAAAGAAATTAATTTCTCAACATGTGCTTTTGTCCATCAGTTGGGATGGGTCAGGACATGGAGCTCTTAAAGGAGTTGGCTTAAATGGAAACGCTCAGAGGAACAGTGTGTCCACCGGTGCATGTAAAGCCTAGACACTTGGGGTGTAATGGGCTTAGGTCTCCCTCATTCACAGGAATGTTTCCGCTTATCCCTGTGAAGCCACACCAGTGTAACCATACTGGTAATGAGTCAAAACCACATTACCCACTGCCTCTTTCCAGTGCACTAATCATCTGGGTGTTTGGAGTGACTGGGGTGCTCTGAATGCTTCTCCTCAAGGTATCTGCTCAAAGTCTGCTTGGGTCCTGTCCTGAAGAATTCGCTCCCAGAAGGGAGTTTCTGCTTCTGTTTTGCTGATGTTACATGGTATTTTCCACTGTTGAGCCTGGCAGGATCCAGGCCTAAGGATTCCCAGTGGAAATGTCCAGACTCCAAGCAGAATTAGCTCCCCTGCGTGCAATTTCATGAGATGTACCCTTCTGTTGTGGTCACCCCCTAAAAGCACCCGAGAGGCTGTGTGAGGAGTGGTGCTGCAGCAGGTGCTGTCTCCACTACCCATGACCCCTCTGCCTCCCGGCGGCAGCCCCACATTGTCCCCAGTCTCCGTAGCGGTGCACGCAGGTGATGACCCCAGAGCGCAGAGCCATGTGAGGGAGGCACATACACGATCTCCGCTGCCTGCTGTGGGACACGGCTGTTTCTCTGTGTGTTGGAACAAGCCAGTGTTTGTACCTGGTTTGTTCTGTCATTGCTCAGCGACAGTGTCTGAAAGGGGACAAGTACAGGCTGATGACACACAGCTACCCTGCAGCTCTCTATAACATGAGCCACCACTCAGGTAATGAGAAAAGACGGAGGACAAAGATTTAAGGTCCAAATGCCCAAAGCAAGTGTATAAATCAAAGCTCCCAGCTAAACCTGCAGCCAAATTCTATGCAGATTTTGCACTTGTCCTGCTTTTAAACTGTCTGAATCAAATCACTGCAAGTCCCTGTGTGGACACTTGTTAAACTTTGCTTATAGCAACCAATTTATGCCAGAAAAAGTACATAAGCCAAATCAATCTAACTGCTTTTAAACTGTTCAGGTAGCTTCAAGCAGGGATTTCCACCAGTTAAATTGTTTTAAATCTAATTTCAGGTGAACCTAGCTTGTTAGTGTCTGGGCAAGGACCTCAGTCTAATTCATGACTGTCACACTTTTCACGGCTCGCTATGGAAGTGAGAACTCCACCTGTTATTCTTTTAAATTTTTTTTCAGTCTCTTCAGCCAGTTTTTCTGCTTCTTCTTTCAGCTGCTTCACTTTTTCTAGTGTTACTTTTGGAGGTCCTCGGGCTTTTAGCTTTTCTTGAAGGATGGTGTACTTTCTTTTAATGTCAGCAAATTCCTGTAACAAAAAAATGCTTCTTAGTTTAAGAACATCTCATAATTAGTCTGGTGTACCAAAGGAGAGTTTTATAACTTTTTTGAATATCCTCCCCAAAGCAAACTTTAAATGTCTCATTCTCTTAAATATTAAAAAAAAAATCCATGAGTGTACATTGAAAAATGCTTTTCGAAAGCTTGATAAAAATCAATTAAACTGCCAGTGAAGCAATGTAAAGTGTCAAGGGAGGGTGAGGCTGTGAAGAAAGTATGGTTTAAGATTTTTAAAGCTTATGCTGGTTTTACTTCTTTTGATAGGGTTTTTCTGTAAATTTGTTTTCTGTTATGAGGCTTAATTCAAATTTAATGAATTAGCTGTAGGGTATTTTATTTTATTTTATTTTAATTTAATTTAATTTTATTTTTAAAATTTATTTTATTTTACTACATTTTTGGCTATAGTAATATTTACTGGCTAACATCATTGCATGCCCATTTAGATTGCTGTCAAGGCTGCAGTTTAGATTTCAACTAGGTTTCTTGTAAGCTGGAAGCTTGGTCATGCTCCAAGCTTGCACTGTGGGTGTCTGGTTCTCCTTGCAATTTTAGCAAATTTCTAGCTGTCTCAATGCATTCTCACAAATTTGAGCTGCTGAAAAGCACCTGGCCAGTCAAAAACTCCAAGTAACTCCCTCAGCAACATTCTCTGAAGGAGAGTGGCACGGGATGAATGGCCAGGCTGCTTCCATCACTCACGTATTTTAGAATCTGGTTTTGTGATTTGTTCTGTTGTGTTTACTGGTGCCCATGGTGACTATGAGTCCTATACACAGTGCAAGGAAAAATGTCATGGAGTAGCCAGAGAAATGTGTATGTTTTCTTTCATTCAAGCAAGCAGAAGCGTTATTTGCCAGAAGCCTTAAAATAAAAAAGAAATTGTTCTTAACCAGTGGTATTTTACACTGCATGGAACAAGGAAAACGTTAACACAGTTTTAAGGAGAGCAGAGCAACGATGCTATCAAACATGGAGGGAACCTTTTTTCCCTTAATATGTGGCAGAAAGGCTTACGTTATCAATATTCTGGGCTTGCTTGTGTGCAGCTTCTGCCCCTGCTCTTGCCTTTGTAGCTTCATTCTTGTTCATCAGCATTTTTGCCTGCAATGTGGCAATTTCATCTTCCACCTCAGACTGTTTTGCTGACAAGTCTTTTAGTTCATCGTTTGTCTTGTTCTCTTGGTTCTCAGCCTAAAACAGAGCAATTAAAAGCCCTGGTTTCTTACGCAACATCCGTTCAGCTTACAGAGCATGCTAATGAGGGAGATTATTTCAACCGATTAAGAAGAGGAGACCCTTAAACATTATGGAATTGGTGTCATATCTGTGCCACATTCTGGTTATATTTATTTAAGTCTGCATTAAGGAAATTTCGAGATGAAGTATCTTTTTCTAAAATGTATGTAGTAAATAAGTGAAAATATTTACAGTGAGATACCTGTGAGATTTGTGTTCTGATGCCTCTTATCTCTTCCTGTAACTTTATGAAAGTGTTTTTGGAGCGTCCTTGGGATTTCACAGCATTTTTTAGTTTATTATTAATTTCATCCACAGGCAGAAGAGCTTTAGCTGCTTTGCTAAAACGGAGAAGTAGAAGCGTGTTTAGTATCGTGGCGCAGAGAGCAAAGCAAGAACATGTTTCAAATGCACCCATGCTCACATGCAGGAATGTTCCCTCGAGTCCAACAACAACCATTAAAATTGTGGTTCATAAGTTGGCAAAGCACCACCTCAGTAAGGGACCTTGCGTGGGAGCACACAAGCTGCTGGATTAAAGGTGAGGCCGGATGCTGCCACTGCATGGGGGTGCACTGCTAGGAAGGAAAGCTGGCTTATGGGTGAACATATTTTCTCTCCCCCCATGCTAAACCTCCCAGTGAACCAGTTGTAATGATCCACTAGGTCCCTTGTGGAAGCTGCCTTGGCCTCTGACTTGGCAGGTGGAGGAGCCAAGAGCTGGCAGGAGCTGCCTCCTTGCAGCACGTCAGCTCCGGCATCCCGAGCAGTCGTGGCTCATTCCTGCCGGAGAGGCCCTATGGAAATTGCAAGCTGAAATCTGCTGTCATCTGAGCTTTCCCTCCAGTGTTACTAGGATGCTGCCTGGGGTATGGAGCAGTCCTGCCATGCACAATGCCACCCCAGCTGGAGCCAGCACATCAGCATGAGTACATCCTACTCACTCGGCTTCTTGTGCCTCCACCAGCAGCATCCCGGCTTCTTCCCTCTTTCTGTTTCTCTTACTCGCATTCAGTCTGTACTTCTCACAGGTGTTCATGACGCTCCTGATTTTGCCAAGCATGCCCGTGAGCTCTCGTGGAGTCAGGGGAAGGCTGATTTGAAGAACGTAACTTGCAACCTTCTCAATGTCTTCTGGAGGCGCGCTCTCATCTGCAACAGAAATGGAGCTGAGGGCATCCTGAAGTGGCTCCTTCCTCCCAGTGAAATGTAAATGATCATTATGGCTGCCTAGCCTTTGAGTTATGTGGGAGAATAAAGCTGACAGACTCAGCAAGAGGGTAAGAGAATTATCTCCCACATTTTGTAATTTAGTATTAAGCTTCCAGGTACTGCTGTTAGCGTTGTCAGAACTGGCTAAAAAGAAGATTTGAACCCACTTTGAACTGGGTTATTAAAATTCTGATGTAGAAATGAGCCTGCAGAAGGTTTTAAATCGGTGCACGGCACAGCTAGATGTGTCAGAGCCCATTTCTCCCTTGGCCCCTAGATCAAAGAGGCGCTGGAGAGGCTGGGGTGTGAATGGAGCTTTCCAAGCTGGCTGGTGGGTGTAATCCCTTCCCTGGAGTCGCCACAGTATTGAGAAAGTGGTTCCTTCGCTGGTTAATGAGAAAGGCTAAGCTACAGAGGGAACTTGGGTCAGACTCAGATAGGATGGGAATTTACAGTAGAAAAACCATATTTTGACAACTCCCCTTGCAAATGATCTCATCCTAGTTCTTTGCTAAGAGGCACAGGCAGAGTTGGAGTAGTCAATGCCTTGTGAAGTCTCATCATCATTCCTGTTTTCTGCTCACTTCCCTTTATAGAAATAGACATTAAAACAGTGGAAACATATTCAATGTTTGTGCTAACCCTCCAAAGTAACTCTGTAAGAATGAAACAGATGTTTACTGTGCAAACTAGTGTGTTCCTGAGAGCTATTTTCTGTGGAAATACATTTGCCTAAAGCTACCGTACATGTCGAAGTAGAGTACGGCAGATTTAATGTAGCTGTATGCACTTCAACTGTTACAGTTCTTAAACCTGGATTTACAAAACAAGAATTCATGAAAAAAACATTTATAATTGTTCATACATGCCATACGTCTACTGAGAAACATAAAAGAAGAGCGAAAGGTGGAATTTTCAATTGCTATCAAATACAAATCTGAGAATCTTAAGGACTTAAATGGAGTTTATCTTCCAGTTCAAAAACATAAATGTTCCTGAACAAAGGAATTCCTCTGTCCTCTGCCCTCACTCCCATCTGGATGTAGAGGTATGAATGCCAAAGGACTGCCAACATGCAGTCCTTAGAAACTTATGAGATCCGTTACATTCACGAGATTAAAAAAATCCTACCACACTGGAATCCTTTGATGTGCATCTGGTAAAAAAAAACACCAACAACCAACCAGACCAAAAAAACCCCTTAGGGTTCATTTCTTACAGCGTTTTTCTGCGGTTGTGAGGGTGGAAAAACTTTTAGGGTATGTATGGTTTTACTTTTTATGAGAGCTGTGAAGTTCTACCAGAATCCTTTGATTTCTTGAGTTACAGCTTTATGAAGATGCTGGAGCGGTATGTGTCCTAATTCCCACGCTCCCTACGGAGAACCTCTATTTATGAGCCTGGGAGAAGGGGGCAGCATAACAATGTGAGGATGCATTGGACATGCCTGGACATTATATATTGTATGAAATTATCTTCGTAGTTGTTTACTCAGATAACTCAGGAACTCAGGGAATTACTTGCAGGCTTCAAATTAAGCAAATGAATGAAAGATGGCAATCAGAATGTAATAGATCTATCGGAAAATGAACACAGAGTACTGTCACATGGGAGAAAAGCAGTAGAAAAAAAGAAAGATTGTGCAGATCAGGAGGTAGACAAGGAATTTGATGTGTATACAGCTAGATAATTTCCTGGCTGTCTATTATGCTATATTATATTTGAATATATATTAAAAACGAGTCAAAAAGAACTTTGCATATTTACCTAACAAGAAGGCTTTCACCTTCTGGATGAACTCCTTAGTGATCTCTCGGTCAACTTCAATTTGGGTCCTAGCTCTCTCCAGTTGCCCATTAAATTGTGAGCCTTTCAACTTGCCGTCTTCTGCCATTTGCCTGATGCTTCCAACCTGGAAATATGACTGCAGATAGCACTGCCATTTTCTGAAGGTTATCAGCTGATCTCTGACACAAAAATAATTTTGATCCAAACCTCGGGTGGAATCACTTGATGTGGCTTTGAAAAGTAGTAGGGGACTCCTTTGGGGAACTCCAGAAGTTGCTACATCATAGCTCTCATTTGGGCTCAGAAAAAGGCTAAATCAAGTATTTTTTTCTCTCTGCACACACCGCTAAACCACAGGCCCTTCTGTTTCTAAAAGAAGGTGCTGACTGTTGTTTTCTATATTGCTGCCTGTCAGTGATCAGATTTAGTATAGAAAAGGCACGTAATTTCATTTGTCTTTTCACACTGGACTTGCTGTTAAAAAAACACTTAAGAGGACACAAATAAGAAAGGTGGAGTTTAGGGCTTATCTTTAAAAGTTACATTTTGCCATTAAATTAGTACTCATGACCATTTAAACGATTAGTCATCAAATTCCATCAGTATTTTTGCTTTGTTGGGGCTATGCTTTGCCTTCAGGAAATGCACCGCTGCAGCTTCCCTGTGCTCTGCCGAAGTTTCCCCATGCAACAAGAAAAACAGTGAGGTTTTTTACTTCTGGTGCGTTTCAAAATACTTCACATATGTTACCACAGCGATGCCTGAAGCTTGTGAGCACCAAAGACAGCTGCCACCTCGGTGCAAGATGCCCTTCGCTGCTGCCCCTCTGTGTCCTGGGGCCCAGGCATGTGCCCCGACGGCTCATTTTGAAACCTCTTAGCTGTGATGCAGAGTGCGGAGTGCATTTTAAAAGGAGGAAATGGATGCCCAGGCACCCTGCAGGGACAGGACAAAGCCACAGCAGAATGACTTTTCTGTGGGAGAATGTGTTTTGCCTGTAATGGTAACAGGCACCATCTCTGATCCTAATGGGCACAAACTGTACTGGTGTTTTGGGATTTGTCCATTTTCTTTCCTTTGTGCATGTTGCCTTGCCCACACTTTGCTCCAGTTATTTTCACTGCTACTGTGCGGTACAGCTGACTACTTGATGCCCTTCTAAACCTCAGCAGGGGCAGAAAAGCTTCATCTTGAAATTATTTTCAAAAATTCTTTAATGGCAAACTTAAGAGTAATATGAAGTTGTATAAATGGAGCTTAACGCTATCCACAGCAGCAATCCCACTGATAAGCACGGGCCATACCCAGACTACTGACAGGTGTGCCCTTTGAATCTTTCCCAACAAAAGGATAGACAATACTAGCCTGATGCCACCAACTTCCATAGGCACAGGGCACCATGACCAGGAGATCTTGGCAGCTGCAAGGAAGAGGACGGCATACCTAGAGTCACAGTCCTTTGGTGGGACTGGCACTTATACTCCCAGTACTGAACCACGCTAGGTCTACGGTGTTGGGACAGAGTCCATCACTAGGTCACTGCTCTTTGTCCAAGGAGCAGGTGAGTTTTTGTAGATGTGTGACCTCTCAAATCTCATCCTCCATCCATTTCATTGAATAAATGTAGCTTTGATGTACAGTACCTGATTCTCAGGTTCTTGTAGCTGAGTAGTCAGGTTACTTAGCAACTCAGCAGTCTCCTCAGCTTTCTTGAAGGCATCAGTGGAGAGAGGAAGAGCTCCACTGCAGTTTGGGCCACCACACTGCCTGCATCCATGACTGTCCTGGCACAAAGCTCCCCCGCAGGCTGCTGTGACACAGGGCTGGCTTCCTGGCACCCCACAGATCTGCAATAAGGAAGATGAGATACACTCCTGGGGGAAGGAAGATGTCTGACTTTCTATGAACATGGAACATCATATGGGATTTTCCCGAAGAGGTGGTGGTCTGGTCTCTCTAAAGATGGGTGTCCCTGCCAGTTACAGATCCCCCTTCCCTGACTTAAAGGATGCAATGGCAGCCCATGGCTCCAAGCCCATCCTTGTAGGAGCCATTTGTTGGGCTCCATGTGCTGCACTAAGTCCCATGTTTCACTCCTCTACAGCAAAAGGGCTGAAACTCCCCTGGCCATATCCAGCCCATGGATCAATGGCTTGTTCTAAAGGATCCAGATCACCTCACACACAACTTGGTACCATGTCTAGCCTTTCATGTATTTTGACACAGATGTTGAGACTAAAGGCCTAGATGGATAATCTCTTCCAGATCTGGCAGTGTTGGCCGAAGGTGCTATCAGGTGTTCATTGCTGCCCAGCAAACAGGCAGAAATCCCTCCCTCTCCTAGGGGTGATGCAAAGGATATGCAAGTGCTCCCCATCCACTCCAGGGCAAAGATGCTCTGCTTAGCTGAAGTCAGTGATAGAGGAGGTTGGGGTTAATCTTTCTGAATTTACACTGAAGTCCTCTTGAGATTAGAGAGTGCTTAAACAGTTCCTCATGTTGGGCCTGCCCTGGGAGCAATGGCTTCCAGAAGGGTGGTAGTAACCACAGCTGAGAACTGCAGCTGTTTCTGACGTGACTGCACGTCTGTGCCAGGGAAGTGTTGTTTTCCAGATTTAAAATGCAAGTAAGCACCCTTTTAAAGTGAAAACTACTTGCAGCATCAAAAAAAGAGATTTTTGTTTAGCTCCCATTCAAAATCCATGGTGCCTACCTTTTCGTTCAAGTTGTGGATGTCGGGGCTCTTGATCATCTTGAGCTTCTCCAGCACATTGGTTTCTTTCAAGGCCTGATGTCCCAACACAGTCAGTGTACGGCTCCTGGTGTGCTCTGAGTGTCTTATGACAGGGGTTGTCCCACTGGTCTTCTGTTCTGCCACCAACGATATTTCAAAGTGTTTCCTAATGTTGCTGATGGCCTCTATAGCAACAGAAATAGCCTTTAGTACTGTATTTTGGTTACATTTAATTCATGTATTTACTAGAATTCTGGACAAATGGCGACTGACAGGTGACGCAGTTTGTTGTCACTAGTGCTTGATTTGGGACAGCAGGGAGGGACAGGAGCTTTCATTTCCTCAGTCAAGCTTTTTAATGCTTTACTCAGTCAGCTGCCAAAGAAGAATAGTTATTGATACCCATAAAATCTACTAAAATAGATGTAAATATAGTGTATCCCATGTCATTCTTCAGAGTCCAAGGTGTATGAGAAGCCAATGGAAGATACAAAAATATGAAGGGGATCTTATTAATGACACAAACTGCTATTAATCTGCCTTCATCAGCAGCTCATGCATTGCTGCTGCTGTTGATCTGACAATGCTCCTGTTATTTGTTCTGTTCTGAAGTTTAGGCAAGTGAACTGATTCTGCCAGTTGTAAAATCTATGAAATCATCAGCTCTGTGACTGTGAGTCAGGAAAGCATTTGTCCTGTCCCTGTTCAGCACAGCACCCAAACATTAAGTGGTCTGCTGAACTGAGGCCAAAATTTAGATTACAAATGGGAATTTATGAGTTTTATTTGGCTCTGGGAAATCCAATTTCAAGGTTGATGTGTTGAAAAAAAAAGCATTTCTATGATAAGGTTGTAGAACAGGCAAAAATTATTTTCTAGCAAGATTCCTTCTTGTTTGCTTGGTGTAAGCTTTCCCTTAAGCAGACTCAAAAGGGTTGGAGAATATTTTTTTTTTTTTCAGATTAATAGCCTAAGGAAAAGACTCAGGCCTTTTATAAAACATAATTTAAAGCTGCTGCTGTTAAGGCTTCCTGGATTTCTAAAGAACCCAAAGCTGTTCCCAAATCCCCAGTCAGAAGTGTGTGCAATGAGCCACAACTGATGTGTTGGCAGTGAAAAAGTATGAGAGGTCATTGATTAACATTCCTCTTTGTGCTGGTAACCAACTCAGGTACCGGTTGAAGTCGAAGACAAGGTACTCGACAAGTCCTGCATGCTTTGAATCAGGCACTGAAGCCCTTGGCCTTGCTTTGAGTGAAGCTAACAATGTTTAGTTGTCATGTGGAACCAAGGCTATTTATTTTATCTTGTAACTCTTGGAAACAATGTAGAGTTTAAAGTTAGCTCCTAATACAAAATACCTGGCAAGAGACTGCTGTTACTGTGTCTAAGCCAGAGGCTGTTTTCTGTGCAACTCCATGGCAGGAATATTTACACTGCTTCAACTCTCCATTAAGTGGCCCAAATGCATTTTTCATGCTTGGTTTGGGATGGAGCTGTAGAGCTTCCAAGTTCCTTTATGTTAAACACAGCATCGTCGCACAGGCTTGATTTACAGCCTAGGAAGCCGTACTCGCTGCATTACCATACCACAGTGGCTGCAAAGCCAGGGGCCAAGGCTGGAAAGGGGCAATTTAATGAGATCTCATAAACTGCAGACATTCTTTTAAGGACATTTGTGTCTTGTTCTTTCCAATGATTTTAAGTCACCATTAGATATTGACGTTTCCAGGCCAGCCTCTGAGGAAGCCTCCGAGTCCTGAGTTCTTGTTGACTTGATCCTCTGCAAAGAGGGATAGGTAGGAGCCTGTTCCCTGCATGTGTCTAGGGTACAAGTGTCAAATGCGCCCCAGATGGGGGTAGATGGCCATATCCTACTCCACTTGCTTGGGCCAGCAAAAACGAGAAGGAAAAAGCAGACAGAACCATACTGAGGATGGGCTGCTGGTCCTGCAATGAAGCTGGGGCATGGGAGCCAGGCTTTCTCCTGAATGCCAGAGAAGCTGGTTATCTTGAAGGAAATGCTATTCTGGTGCCGTTAAATGCTTGGTAGAAGGAGCAATGAATATTTGTGGCTCTGACCAGAAATTCATCTTAAATTCAAGGTCTTCCCCTCCCCACACCCCCATATGCTTTTTATAGGGCTGTTTATCCATCTCCTGAGGCCGTCAGATGAAATGGATTTGGAATGTGACCAGAGAGCACCATGGATGCTTCAGCTGTGCAACCACTGACCTCCCTGGGATTTATTGTTTCTTTGCCTTCCTGTCTCTCTCAGACTCTGCACAAGACTCAGCTGAACTGGGAAGCAGAGCCTGGGAGAGCTGTGATGGCCGCTCACGCAGGGACCGGGGCGGAAGAGCTGGCCCCAGGGGTACTGCCAAGTATAACAGTGCAGGAGAGACCTAAATATTAATTAACCCCTCTTTTCCCCTCTTACTTTCCCTTGGCTTTGTATTTAGTTGAACTTTCCTTCTTCTTTTTCAATCTTGTCCCAGATGTTCTTTTTCTCACCCAAACACAGCACAGAGAAACTGTAAATGAGAATGCATTGCTTATAGCTTGTGTCCTCTGTGGCACTCACCTTATCTTCTGGGGGTTCATATCTTGGCAGCCGCCTCTTTGGAGCATGTACTGCTGACAATTTCCTGTTGCTGAGGATGACTTAGCATCTGTTTGCAATCCTCGACTGGTATGTCCCCATCTTCTTCCAGAAAGCTGTCCGTGGCATTGTCATTGCTGCTATTAGCAGCTGATGGAGACTATACTTAGCTCAATCATAGATGGAGTAATTCTTTCAAAAAGGAACTAAATTCTGACTTCATATTTTTTGATGATGGAGAGCTAGTTCCTTACCACATGAAATCATGTATTTTCCCATGGGAACACTGAGAAGTTGCACTAGACTCTCTGTTTTAATTAAACAAACCATTGCCATACCACATTCTTTAAATATCGCTAAGAGCAATAGGAGTCAGAAGTGGGGAAAAATTCTTTGGTCTTCTACTGTATGATCCATGAGTCTATACTGTGAAACTGGGTGGCATTTAAATCCTGGTGTATACAGCTTGGTGTTGGTGGCAAACTTGCTGAGGTTGCACTCAATCCCACCGTTCATGTCACCAACAAAGATGTTGAACAGCGGTCACAATACTGACTCCTGAGGAACGCCATTTGTCACTGGTCTCCACTTGGACATCGAACCTTTGACCACAACTCTTTGAGTGCGACCATCCAGCGACAACTCTGTGAGGCCGCCCCCCCAGCCAGTTCCTTATGCACTGAGTGGTCCACCTGTCAAATCCAAGTCTCTCCAATTTAGAGACAGGGATGTTGTGCTGGACAGCTTCACATACTTTTCACAAATTCAGGTATATGATGTCAGTTGCTCTTCCCTTATCCACCAACACTGTAACTCCATTGCAGAAGGCCACCAAATCTGTCAGGCACAATCTTCCCTTGCTGAAGCCATGTTGGCTGACACCGATCACCTCCTTATTTTCCATGTGCTTTAGCATACTTTCCAGGAGGATCTGCTCCATGATATTGCCAGGCACAGAGGTGAGACTGACTGGCCTGTAGTTCCCTGGGTCTTCCGTTTTTTCCTTTTTAAAAATAGGGGCTATGTTTCCTCTTTTCCAGTCAGTGGGAACTTTACTGGACTGCCACAACTTCTCAAATGTGATGGATAGAGGCTTAGCAACTTCATCCACCATTTCTTTCAGGACCCATGGATGAATCTTGTCAGGTCCCATGGACTTGTGCACCTTCAGGTTCCTTAGATGGTCTTGTACTTGGTCTTCTCCTACAGTGGGCAATTCTTTATTCTGCCAGTCCCTGACTTTGCCTTCTGCACCTTGGGCAGTGTCACTAGAGCTCTTGTTGGTGAAGACTGAGGCAAAAAAGTCATTGAGTAACTCAGTCTTCTCCATATCCTGGGTAACCAGGTCTCCCGTTTCCTTCCAGAGAGGGCCCACATTTTCCCCAGTCTTCCTTTTATCACCAGTATACCTACAGAAGCCCTTCTTGTTGCCCTTGAAATCCCCAGTCAGATTTAATTCTCAGGTCTTTAGCTGTCCTAACCTGTTCCCTGGCTGCTTGGACAATTTATCGCTATTCCTCCCTGGCTACCCATCCCTCCTTCCAGCCTCTGTAGGCTTCCTTTTTGTGTTTGAGTTTGTCCAGGAGCTCCTTGTTCATCCATGCAGGCCTCCTGGCATTTTTGCCTGACTTCCTCTTTGTTGGGATGCATTGCTCCTGAGCTTGGAGGAGGTGATCCTTAAATATCAACCAGCTTTCTTGGGCCCCTCTTCCTGGCAGGGCTTCATCCCATGATACTCTACGAAACAGATGCCCGAAGAGGCCAAAGTCTGCTTTCCTGAAGTCCAGATTAGTGACCTTGCTGTGCACTCTCCTCACTGCTCTAAGGATCTTGAACTCCAACATTTAATGATCACTGCAGCCAAGGCTGCCCTTGAGGGTCACATTCCTTTCCAACCCCTCTTTGCTGGTGAGAACAAGGTCCAGCATGGCACCCCTCCTCACTGGCTCCTCTATCACTTGGAGAAGGAAGTTGTCATCAACACATTCCAGGAACCTCCTGGATTGCTTGTGCCTGCCATGTTGTCCCTCCAACAGATAACGGGGTGGTTGAAGTCCCCCATGAGGACTGGGGCTTGTGAGCCTGAGGCTGGTCCTGTCTATAGAGGACCTTATCCACTTGGTCTTCCTGGTCAGGTGGCCTGTAGCAGAGCACCGCTATAATGTCACCTGTCCCTGCCCTCCCTTTAATCCTGACTCAACCTCTCAGTCGGCTCCTCATCCATCCCCAGGTGGAGCTCCATGCACTCCAGCTGGTCACTGACACAGAGGGCAACACTCCCTCCTCATCTCTCCTGCCTGTCCTTCCTAAAGAGCCTGTATCCTTCCATTCCAACACTCCAGTCATAGGAGCCATCCCACCACGTCTCCGTGATGCCAATAAGATCATAGCCTTGCAGGCATGTGCACATCACTAACTCCTCTTGTCTCTTTCCCATGCTACATGTGTTTGTACAAAGTCATTTAGGTTGGGCCCCTGATGAAGCTGACTTTCTGGCTGGAGTGGCTGGAAATCTTTTGTGCTGGTCTTCAGGTGCCCTCCTGCTGACCTGTGATCCTTCTCCCGGCTCTGGGCATCTACTGCTGGCACTGGCCTCAAACTGGTAGGAGTGGGGTGGATTTTCCCCTCCCTCAGCAACTTTAGTTTAAAACCCTCTTCACCATCTTGGCAAGCCTGTGTTATTAGTATTAACATTTTTGTGCCACCATAGGAAGCTAAAATCTAGGGATCTTTGAAATATTGTATGGGTTGATGGCTGATGGTACGAAAAACATTCTGAAACTTCACAGAACATGTTCACCTGTATCAATTAATTGCTGTCTGTCTCACCTTTGAGGTTCGAGTAATGAGAACTGCGATGCAGATGTATTTTCTGTTGTAGAAGTTCATACACTAGGTCAGCTTCTTTTCCGAAGTCTTCTATGTTCTTGTTAAGATCAGGAAACTCATACAGCGTTCTGCGAAGGGGATCCATTTGTGCGACTTCTTGTCTGAAAGGGAAATGGCAGTTATGCAGAAGTCAGACTGGATTGTTCTTAAACTAGAACTGGGATACACAGTATTTTAGAGGACAAGAAATACTTTTCCAAATGAGCAGAAGCATGTCCTTGTAATGGCTTATTTAGAAAATCCTTAGGATGAACTGAAAATTCAAGCATTTAAGTATATGCCTGTGGGGAACAGATCATATATATAAGGATTATTTTGTTCACAGATCAACTGAAAACAATGACTTTGTAGTCCAGCATCTGTGTGCTGATCAGAAAGTGGGACTTGACGTGTAGGGCTGGCTGGGGGAGCCTGGGGGGAGACTGCTTTCTCAGCCAAGGGGTTTTTCAGGGGCAGCTGAGTCCTTACTGAATGTAGGCCTGAAAATCCTTGATGCCTGAGAGGGCCTCCAGTGAAAGAACAGGATGTCTCAAAATTCTTTCAATTTCAGAAATGGCATCTTCGAAAGCTTTGATGCGCATGTCACAGCTGGGCATTCGTCCTCCTTTATCTCCGAGATTTGCAGCAAACCTCATTAACCCCTGAACAGTCTGACCGAGGGCAGTAATGGCGGTGTCCCACTGATCAAAACAAAGATGACACTGATGGCAAGAGGGAAAGTCTTTCTCAAAGCCGCGGCTGCACTGGTTGCAGGACCGGCCAGTGACTCCCGTGCGGCAGTTACATGCGCCGGTGGCTTTGTCACACTTGGGCTGGCCAGTTCCCTCCGGGTTACACTCGCACGCTGCAAGAAAGGGACAGCAAGTTGCACCCTGTTGTTCCTTTTCTGTGGGATTAATGCATGCAAAGGGCACAATCATGCATTTCAAGACAATAAAAGCAAACTGGTGTCTTCAGCCCTAACTGCCATGGTCCCACCATAACCATAGAAGGAACAATATAGATAAAGACTATAAACAATCTTATCCATCTCATACACATACATGCATGAAAACCTTTTTCTCTAGGTGTTTGTCCATCTCCCCTGTGAATATAAAGGGGAAGCATTTCTTTTGAGGCAGTTCCTAATCCAGTTGTCCCCAAGTAATACTTACAAATGCAATGTGTCTGGGGGTCGCCAAAGTAATTTTCCTCACATTCATCACAACGTCTTCCGCTGTAACCTAGCTTACATGGACACTGGCCTGTAAGCTGTAAAGACAGGGAGGATGAAATAACTGCCTGCAGAGTTGTATGGCTGGGGATACATTATTTACTGGGTTTCTTTTTCATTGTGATTTATGCCATGCAGCCATATGGGGACTGCAGTGGCACTTCTTGCACACGGTCTTTGAATAACGTGGTTTACATGGTACTGACTCACCTTTCACATCTTCCTCCTGATGGCTATGAAGATGAAATAGACTTTGAGAGATAGCTTTATTTTACTAACGTGAAAGGTTTTGTATGTTCCAGTCTACACATGCTCTTTGAGAACTCATCTTCTGACTGTTATCTGAGAGAGAATTATTTTCCTTTGCAAAACAGATTAATTTCTTATTTTTGCTGGAGCAAAGCACTCATCATTGCATTCCAACTTTCAACTACATGATATGTTAACTGTAACTAAAAACCTCGAGGGTACATTATGCACATTGCCCTAGAAAATTTATTTTGGAATTCAGCTATTAAATTAAACTGCAGGGAATTACAGCTCTGATAACTGGTGCAGCTTGGAAAAAAAGTAGTAGTTATTTGAGGATAAGAGCTACATTTTCTAGGAAAATAATAACTCTACTAAATAATCCGGAACAAACAGAAAGCATATTGAAAGGAAAATGTGAAAGCACATCAGCAAGAGGTTGTGATAAGGTCCTGGGGCTCTGAAGTCAATAGCAAAATTGCTCTTGACTCCATGGGACCACAATTTCACCTCTGTATTCTGAAACAGTTTTATTTTTTCTACATTCTAGCCCCAAAGAGTGCACAGGAATTAAAGATGAGAAAAGAAAGATACTCTAACAGTCTGATAGATGAGGCATGATTAATGTAACGGCCACAGCTGATACTTTATGAAAATAAATACTTAAAAAACACTCATAAGACTCTTGGGTCCAAGCTTGGACTTCGACTTGCCCTATGCCTGTACTTATATGAGGTAGTTTTTTCCTACATGAGATTTTCTTACAAAGTATTTTTATGATCCACTTTACAAAGGAACACATGGACCAAAAAAAATGGCTTATGAGCAAAGCCGCATTACCAGAAGAGCATGTTTGATACAGTGACTCAAAGTGTGATTGCACCAACTGCAAACTTCCAAAGACTTCTTGTTTTCAGGGAGCACATCAAAATATATCCTCACTTATAAGAGCCTCCACTATGCCATGCCAGAACACCCCCACCCATGCTCTCGGAAAGCAGACTAATTTTCTTGCCTGGTTGCACTGGTTGCTTTGGGAATTTTTTGGATCACAGTCACAGATCCGACATCCTTTTCCGCTAGCCAGGTCCCAGTAGCCAGAGGCACACTGGTGGCATGTCAGGCCCACCACGTTGGGTAGGCAAGGGCAAGCTCCTGTAACTGAGTCACACAGACAGGTTGTGTTCTCCCCTGGGCATATGGCAGGGTGAACACCCACCAGATTGCACGTGCACCCTGGAAAAGAAGAACAATTACTACAGCAGATGATATTATAGACAGATGAGGGACAATCAGAGCAGTATATAAGGCACATGCTGTAGGTTTACTTGTAGTAAGTTTGAACACATTTTTAATCTCATACAGTTTACCTGTCTTTCCATAATAGCTTATATATCACTTTGAAGAAACATACTGGGAACATTCCGTACTTTTAATACAGGCACAAAAAAAAAAAAAGAAGGGGTAGTGAATTTTGAATCTTACTAGAACAAAATGTTAAATATGCTGGGTAAGGAGAAGCTGATTTACAATAGTCACTATCCAGCGTGGGAAACCCCTGTAAGCCAAGTAAGATAAGAAGCCTTCCTTGTGAGGAGCCAAAAGTTCTTGCTTAACCATTTCTAACAGACCATTTCCAAGACAAATGAAGAATGGGCTTGAACTGTATTTTCGAGATTCCCATAAAAAGAGTTTCTTAAAAATACCTATATTTGTCTGGCCTGTAGAAACTAGACCCTCAGTGAGGCACATTTGTGAAAAGGGTCTTTGAGAAATGTTGAGAAGAAACTTATGCCCTGCTTTCTCTTACACTCCTGCTTTCTGTTAAAAGTGCTGAGTTACTGACGATGTTCTCATGGAGTCCATTAAGTTGCCTGAACAGTCGCATTCTAGCCACTTAATGAAAACAACTGGAAAGTCAGGGAGCTCAGCAAGGGATCATCTGGTTAACTGAGCATTGCTTAGCTGGCATCAGCCAGCAACATGGATAAACAATTCTCTTTGATTCCTTTACTTTCAGTTCCTTCCTGAACAGGCTGAACGCACACTTATTTTTCTAGCAGAGAGTACAGATTTTACTTCATAAATGGGTATTTCCTAGGAGTGATACTCAGTATGAGATTTAGTGAGACTTTGATGACAAAGAATTTAGTAGATGACATATTAACAGTTATTTGCATCACTGGATAGAAATGTATTCGGTACTCTCATATTTTGTACGTTCATCTGCTTTAGTTTTACTGTCCCTCCAAGGGCTAACCTCTCCCTATAGCCTAATTTCATTAAAACTTCTATTGGTAGTAAAACGCAGTTGCAGTGCTGTTGCGTACTTACTTTGACAGTTTCGATCAAGGGCTGAGCCAAAATACCCTGGTTTGCAGAACTGGCAGTTTGCTCCGTGGGTGTTGTGTAAACACTTGGTGCATTCCCCAGTGACGTGGTTACAGGATTCTGGGTCTGTCACATCAATGTTGTCATTGCAGGGGCATGGCGCACAGTCAAGTCCAGGGCTGCCTGGGTTTTTGTAGAACCCACTAGGACACTCGTCGCACCGACTGCCTGTCAGGAAGGAAGGTAAAAACATTTGCTGGCTGATGGGAATTCAAGTTAAACTTGTAATTTCCAGTAATACTGTTAAAAGATTCAGGCTGTCTGCTCAAATGCACATTTCCAATGGAAAAAAAATCCACCTGTTGGAGACTGTTGCCCTTTAATCCTGTAATTGGTTTAAATTACACTTCCCACACTGAAATCTGATGGAAATGCACTCTCCTCATCCCCACTCGTTTTTAACAAGGAAGTTATTTCAGTAGGAGTAAATAGGTACCCCCTCCCACAACACCTTCAAGCATCTCTTTCCAATGGCAGCAGTCAGGGTTGGCCCATATTTGCAGGATTTTCCCTGGGACCTTCACCCTGACAGCAGAACAGGAAGGTGTGGGGTGGCCTTTCCTGGAGCCACCCAAAGCCCAGCAGACCTGCCCACCCTTCCAGAACCCAATGGAGAATTCCCAGGAGGTCACACCACTTCTGGGACCTCATCCACTGTCTCATCCTCAACCAAGGACTCTGCTTGTTTGCCGTGGTCTTCAGGACCACAGCCTTTCACAAGAAGCAGGAGAAGAAAAGTCCAGAACTGAGGACTGCAGTGCCTTCTGAGGACAGAAGTCCCCTGGGTGAGTACCAACAAGGATCTTTTTGGCCCTACAATGATTACTCAAGCAAAACTGCTCTTGACTTATAAAGGAACCTGGCCTAAGTAATGATGACAGCATTGGTTTTGGCAATGTTTCCCATTAGAGATCTCTCACTGGAGATCTTTCTAACGCCCCAGGGGAAGGGAAATATCTTCAGATTTTCCCTGCAGAAATTCAAGCTAAGTCAATGGGTACTTAGGAAGCAAGGCATCAGTCTGCTGCAAAAATATCTGCACTTGAGACAGCTGAGAATGGAAATCTCATTTCTAAAGTGACCACTTTTGGTGAAACAGTCACTTTTGGGCATAACATCAAAGAATCATAGAATCATAGAATGGTCGGGGTTGGAAGGGACTTTAAAGACCATCTAGTTTCAACCCCCTTGCCATGGGCAGGGACCCCTTCCACTAGACCAGGTTGCTCAAAGCCTCCTCCAGCCTGGCCTTGAACAATTCCAGGGATGGGGCATCCACAGCTTCTCTGGGCAACCTGTTCCAGTGCTTCACCACCCTCTCTGGGAAGAACTTCTTCCTGATATCTAATCTAAACCTCCCCACTTTCAATTTAAACCCGTTACCCCTTGTCCTGTCAATACAGGCCCTTGTAAAAAGTCCCCCCCACAACTTCCTTGTCGGCCCCAAGATGCTTCTATATGAGGAAAGATTTTCCTCTGATTAGGAAATCTTATCAGTGCTTTTTGCTGCCATGTTCTTTATGATTTGGGCTTCCAATGCTTGTTTTTCAGAGGTAACAAGCAACTGCAGGTCTCTCCCTGAGGTTAACGGAACGCAAATTAGGAGGTTTCCAGAGAGTGCCATCACATTAATTATTTGTATTCATGTAGGTGAATCCCTTTTTCAAACACTAATTACACAATTCCCACTGTTCTCACTTCCCCACCTCATTCCACTAAATTTGGATGTTAAGTTTTCTTATCTATTTTATTACCATTATCTCACTTGTCATTTCTGACCAGAGGATGGTGGAAGATGGTTATTTTTCTCTCTTACATTAATTTTAACAGAATCAAAACCAGTCCTTATTTTGCTTTATACCTGAATATCCCTCGAGACAATTGCAGACTAGTTGTGCAGACTGGGAATCCTGGTAACAGGAACGTGCAAAATACCTATTACTTGTAGGCGCCCCAGGGCACATGCATGGGCGGCAGGGTTCTCCGTGCAGAGGGTTTCCATAATAGCCATCCATGCACCTGTCAAAGCAGTCAACACAAAGCAGCAGGAGTTGTCAAGTGCTCCTTCCAGTCCTTGCAGGTGAATTAATTTTATATGTATGTATAATAAAACATTCCAGGTCATTGTAATACTTTCCCCATTGATTGGTACAGATATATCTGATTGCAAAGGTGTTCTAAAATGGAAAATCAGAGCTGGTGCAAAAAGAAAAAACCAAATGGTTTCTTTTCAAGGAGTATTTCTGAAGACTTTCACCTACCATGGAGCAATTTAAATCTAAATGATAATATATACATATGATACATGCTCTGCACAGACAGCTACAAGCTGCCATGTAAAAATTCTGTATATTCACTTACCACTGCATTTCCTTACATACACACAAAGAGTGGCTGGTATGACATTAGAAAATCCTGGCATGGGCAGAAAAGCAAAAATTCATTCAGAGAACTCAGAGAATATTGCATATTTTAGATGCAGCAGATGTACTGAAACCAGCCATGCTCTGCCTGACAGCTGCAAACCTGGGGTGATGGCTGTTTCGAGGTGGTGGTGGCTGTCTTTGGGGGCTCACTGGGGGCTCAGCTACCTCCACCAGCCTGTCCACCACTGCCACCTCCACCTCCCAGCCCCCTGTGGCCCTGCAGCGGCAGCAACACTGCGGCTTCTGAAGCATCAGCAGTCTTTGATCTGCTTCACTAAAGCAAATGGGAACATAACTCTCTATATGTATACAAGCCAGGTTAAAAGTCGTGGATATTTGATTATCCTTGCCCTGGGGTCTGAAGCTCCTGCAGAAGTGCAGGGCAATAATTAGTTCAGTCTCCATTATTAATCTATTTGCTACCTACAAGCACAATAGCAAAAGACTCTATTGTCCAAAAGCACTGCAAGAAAAGCTCAATAGGTTGCATGGGGAAATCCTCTTAAAAGTGGATGACAAGGTACAATCCAGCCAAACTAAACTAAACAGCTAACAAATTTAATTCTGACATCCATGTTGAACCCTGATACTGCTGACAGTGTGTAGGATAAAAAAGAGGAGCACTGTTTTGAACAGAGCTGGAACACGTGGGAAAAGCCATTTGCTGGTCATATGGAAATAAGAACCAGCAAACAGGGCATGTTTATTTAAGCTCCTCAGAGATAACTGCAGATATTAAAATGAGTTTTCAGCACAAGGTTAGCCTCTTGGCAATTAAAAAGCTGGCAGGATTCAGTGTATCACATATGCAGCACTCTGAACATATCATCAAGCACATGATGCCATGACACCCATGTCTCAAATGCCTTCTTGCAGGAAGCCCACTGTGATGCCATGTGTGTTCTGTGCCCTCTGCCCTCCCACAGGCACAACATGCACCTTTCCACACACATTTGCTGAACAAAGTGTACCTGCCATTCAGGAAGGCCTAATCCCGGGATTAGTTATGTGTTTCCAGTCAAGGTCACTGATGCATTCATGAGGAAGTAGGTGGGCCTCCAGCTAGACACACGTTTCAGAGAGCACCGGTGTTGGGTGAGCTTTGCAGTGCTGCCCATCGTCCTACCTTTCACAGTGGCTTCCAGACGCAAACCCGCGGCAGTTCAGGCATGCTCCAGTCACTGGGTCGCAAAGGTCTGCATAGTTATGTGTTTCCAGTCAAGGTCACTGATGCATTCATGAGGAAGTAGGTGGGCCTCCAGCTAGACACACGTTTCAGAGAGCACCGGTGTTGGGTGAGCTTTGCAGTGCTGCCCATCGTCCTACCTTTCACAGTGGCTTCCAGACGCAAACCCGCGGCAGTTCAGGCATGCTCCAGTCACTGGGTCGCAAAGGTCTGCATAGCCGTTACACGGGCAAGGGCGGCAGTGAGGAAATCCAAAATACCCAGCCAGACATCGGCTGCAGCGCTGACCATCCACCTCCCGGCGGCAGGAGCACTGCCCCGTCACCTGGTCACACAGTGTGCTCAGCGAGCCTTGCGGGTGGCACTCGCATGCTGGAAAACACCGAAAGCAAAGCTGCGCCCTGGGCGTGTATTTCCACCAAGCCCGCTCATTGCTAACACTGCTCGAAGGCAGTGTGAGCGGCAGGGCCGGAAAACCTGTTATTTGTGGAAGCATTTTTTATATTGCTTCACACATAATCCTGGATTTCAAGCCGTAAAAAGTTGGGGCATGCATGAAGAGCCAGATACTGGTACAGGTGCTGGCTGACAAGTACTCACCGTAGCAGCCGTGGAAGCCGAAGCC